CTGTGCCATGGAGGGGCTGCTGTCCTCCATGGAGCTTGGCTTTGGGCTGATCCTGAGGGAGCTGAGCGCGGGCCTGGTGTGGCTGCTGCCCGATGGCCTGTCTGCTCAGCTCATGCTCCAGAGCCTCCAGTGGGAGACGTTGTTGAGTCTCCCTGTCCTCACCTCCTTGCTGGCTGTCTTATTTGGCTGCAGGGTCACTCACTCTGTTAGAAGCCGCCTGTATCACAGACACGAAAAGCAGCTGGCACAAAGACTGGCTGCCCAGGTCGAAATGAAGTGCCAGCTCATCGACCGGCTTTACGCGGGTAGACAGGAGTGTGCCAGGGGGGAGACAGCTTTGAAGGACGCCGGGCGAGAGAAGCAGCCAGCAAACATACCCGGCCTTGCTGCCGCTTACAGACACTTGGTGTCCGTCAACCTGAGTTGCAGGAAGAAAGTCAGTTGTGTCATCGAAGAACTGAGGAAGGAGAGACCCCTGCAGTCGATTCAAGGGGAGATGGCGGAGGTGCGGAGAGTGCTCGCATTCCTGGAGGAGGTCACCACAGGCAGCACATCACAAGGGGCTGTTCCCAACGAGCCGGGAGGCCCGGCGCCAAGCCCTGCTGAGCCCTCTCCCAGGAGTGGGCCCTCGTGCCAAAGCCACGCTGCGCCCTCCCCTCCACCCAGGCCTCCCTGGCTGCCGGGCTGCGTGCGCTCACCCGGTCAGGTCTCCTCCTGCGCTGCACAGAGGCCAGTGGATGGAGGGCAGTCCCCTCCTTTGGACCAGAGTCCCTCCAGCTGTACCCGTGAGCAGAACCGTGAACACCTGCACGGTCACCTTCTCCATCTCCAATGTATCCGAATTCCCAGAACACACCAAGGAACGTGGGACTTTCTCGGTATTCACAGACTGCTTTGATTGTCTCTAATTGGCGGTGAAAGAAATGTGTTTAAGAGACTGATCTTTAACTCAGTTTGACTTTCCTTGCACCCCATTTCTCAAGGCAGTTTTAGTAACTGTTATACATCAGCTGTATAAGAGAACTGTATATACAGGTTTCTGTACACAAATATTGCAGTGTAATTTGATAATATGTGTAGTTTCTCAGTATTTGCTTTTAGTTGGCCATGGTATTTTTTCTAGAGTTAAAATCTTAAAAGTCATCAGTTGAAGCTGAAGAAATGTTTATTCTTGAGTTTTGTATTTTAAAAAGAAAGAATGTCTTTGAGATGATAATAGTGTATGCTTGTAAGAGTTTTTATTGAATAGTTATATTCTGTTGTAACGGTAGATATACTTAAAAATAAATTTGTTAAATTGCATGGAGACTGTTTCTTTTTCCTGCAATAACGCTGCAGTATGAGTTTTCTGACCAAGAACAAATCCACCTGGACAATTTCGGGAACCTCCACACCCCAGCCCCTTCTGTCTTGCTTGCCATCGTGCACTCACCCGTCAGTGGAAAGCCAGGGCAGGGTTGGGGTTTTCTTTTCGTGCATAGTTAAGTTTTAGGCCCGCAATTAGTACCATTATTCACAGGCGATGTGCTCTCCCTGTGGAGTGGGTGCACAGTGGTTTTGATCATGGCAGAAGGGCCGGAGCTCATAACACTTTTTTAATGGAGGGAATCACGTGAATAAATGACAGAGGGAGCACCATGATGAGGTGTATGACATTTCCTTGAATTGATTAAAAAAAAGTTGTCCTTGGGTTGGAGAAGATAAATTAAACCTAAAAAGTCGTCCTGTCTTCCTGTTGGGGAGGACAGGGTGATCCAAGCACGTTCCAGGTGAAACAGAAGCGATGGCGTTTCAGAGGTGACACACATACAAGTACAAAGAGGAGAAGCGGAAGCAGGGGAATGTGGACTGGTCTTGGCAGAAGTGGTCCTGAAGCCCTCTTCCAGGAAGGGACG